GACTTGAACAAATGATAGTACTGAATCATTGTAAATAGTGTAGTAAATCCTAACAGATGACATTGGACAAATTGTTTACACATCTTTATCATTAAATCTGTAATAAAATGAACATATATGGAGAAAGAGATATCTTTGGGGGTTTTCACCAGTTTTCACTTGAACAATATAATTCCTTCATTAAAGAGTAAAAGTGAATAAGAATAGAAAGAAGTTGTGATCATATATTTATAGACAGTTTATCAACTATTTGACAGTGGTACTGAGGCTGAATGGAAGAATCTAATGCAAGAGAATGAGATTCAGTATTAATTATGTAAAATATAGAACATATACACAAATATTTAAATATAAAGTTGCCTAAAATAAAAAAATAAAGTTGGTAACACATGCACTTTTATTTATTTTTGGTTAATATAGAACAAAGAGTTTCCCTGTAAAAATGCTTATTTACCCACATACCACTGCTCAGAAGTCTGTACCTTAAGGACAAAGAAAGGTCACCAATCTCTCCAACTCCTAGTTCTTTGTCAAAAATGGACACAGTTAATGAGGTTTGTTTGGTACAGCACAAATTCTCAGACACAGATAGAGATCCTTTCAATGGAAACAAATTTGTTTGGCTTTACCAGGTTACTTAGCGATTAATAATAGCCTTGAGATGCAGGTCAGAAAGGTCATTGTACTGGCTTGCCAACACAATCTAAAATGTGCAGCTAGTCCAGCTTTGTAGGCTGTGAGGCCCCAAAATGCTATGCATAAAGTAAAAGAGGCTATTTTCCAACTTCTTTTTTCATATTAATAAGCAATTTTCAAGAGAAGGGTGGCAAAATGGGAGCCATGCTACTCTAAGTAATTCATTTATTTTGCAATTTAATCTTATGTTGGAAAAAAATTACACTGCTCCAAAAGCATAGCATGGTGATTTTTAAACGTCAGTATGTTTCATAAGTAACCTTGTATGAAATATTGTATTAGCAGCCTTTAACAGTAAATCGCAACAAAAATATTTGCACAGATCGAATGGCAAAATGGGAGCCATGCTACTCTAAGTAATTCATTTATTTTGCAATTTAATCTTATGTTGGAAAAAAATTACACTGCTCCAAAAGCATAGCATGGTGATTTTTAAACGTCAGTATGTTTCATAAGTAACCTTGTATGAAATATTGTATTAGCAGCCTTTAACAGTAAATCGCAACAAAAATATTTGCACAGATCGAAACGGA